AGCAGAACTAGCGACCGCCGTAAAAGAAACTTCGGAAGCCCTTGAGGCGCTCCGACTCGCCCTCAACACACAACCTAATGAAAAGGCGAGCAGTGACGAACTCGCCACTGCCGCCAAAGAAATAGCCAAAGCTGGTGCCAAACCTGGACAAACATTAGAGCTGGCCAAACATTTGTCTGAGCTGCTGCTCACTGAATGTGACGCGACAGAAGACGAGGCCATGCTCAAAGAAGTAGAATCTCTTTCCCTAACATACGAAGACCTGCTCAGCCAAGCGAAGAAACGGGAGCTCCAAATCAACAACTTGAGGTGAGTGTCACTCGGTCAAAAGTTGCACGCAATTATGGATCGTGTAAATCTGTAATTATGTGCGATTTTGGCATTTGGTGTAATTTGATTCTCTATACGATTTTGAATCTAACGTATTCTTCGGACATTTCATGTAGATGACGGTGTCTACGATGTTGCTTTAGTTGTCTGTCTATAGTGCAAAATCTTCAACTATACGTAATTATTTCAATTCACTCAGAAGCTGGGTCGCATTTGTTTAAAGCAAAGTTTCATTTTCATACATTAAATGTAGATTTTAAATATTTTTGCTTCGGCACACGCCCAATCCTCAATAAATTTTTTTCGCGATTTTTATATCTACATGTGCACTGTTATGCTACACTTAAGTCTTGCACGACTTCTTAAATCCTTGCTGAAATGAATGTTACCTAAACATTATTTGACTGTCTTGCCTTCACAAGAATGCTGACCTCTTTCCTTGCATATTTGACAAGTTCTTGCAAACTTTATTCTTGCCCTTATTGGTTCTTGTATAGCCCTTATTGTTTCTTGCAATGTCATTATATGAAATGTCCCTGTATTTAAATCTAAATGTTGTTATTTGATGATTGTTATATGGTAGCACTTATGGCACTGGTGACGGGGCTTAAAGCTGTTAATGAACAGTGGATCTTATATCGGTGGAGTACAGTTGGCAACACACAATAAATAATATAAAAAGACCAAAATATTTTAACTTAAGAAGACTGGTCTATTTGTGTATAAAGTGTGGCTGACTGTACATTATTTCCTTGCATTTATATACCTACAAATATAAAACAGTATTTTTATTTATATCACTGATTCGATTCTCAGATCTATTTATAAATTAAAATGGTAAACTCAGTAGTTGTAAATAAATCAAAGAGACTGATAATTTCTAAGTTATACTCAAAATGCCGAGGTGTGCACAGACTAGCCGATAAAATGTAGATACGCCAAAATGTTCCTACAACTCAAAAATGCCTCAGAGAGTAATAGAAAGCTAGGTAAGAGCCCTCCAGATCTCCCACTTTCACACCCAAAATTAAACTTAATTCCTTTCAATTTTAAAACTCTTTTTCTATGATCACTGTCAATTATTAGCACTGAATTAAAATAAGGCATATACACACTGGCGTATCAATTTTATCCTGGGTCGTGTCACGTGTGTAACAGCTTTCTAACCCGGCATGCTCTAAACACGTTGCGTTTTTTATCCAATAGGTTGCCCCACTCTGCGTCGTACGCGCTCACGTGCGAACAGTGAGTACTGCTTACCTAATATTTGTAGTTTTATATCTATTCCACACATTTCTGCTACATTTGAGAGTAAAAGATCAACGAGATTTGTGTATTTTTTGTAACTATAGATGATATTTTGTGTAGATTTTCTCATGTATATGAGTATTAATTGCACATGATTGCATGGTATTTAAATCTTATATATTTGTTTGCAAAAATACAATATTTTGTTTATAAGTTTTTTACCTCTCTTCACTTTCCTAACCTAACAATGTCTAGTTTGTTTTTATTCATTAATCTTTGACTGTGTAGCAGAAATGCGTGCGATGTTGCATGATGTGAAATTAATCAGTATTACGTATTTAGTAGTTTTTTAATTACACTTTATTTATTGGTGTATATGCACTGCACTTTACACATTTTATATTAAGCTTTATACATACATTGGGATTGTGTTGTTTCCTTGTTCATTTATAAGTACCTACAGCTAAATTATCTATTTAGTATATTTTGTTAAACGTTCATTTTGTGATATTGAATTGTATTTAGATTTTAACAAGACGAAAAAATACTTTTATGTTCTTGTTAATGTCTTGTAAGTTAATCAGATTAAATTTATCATTATTTACGCTTATAAAGTAATTACATTAACTTAAACATTATTGGTCCTATTTGTGTAAAAGGACCTTGTTGTAAAGTATTGTAACGTAATGTCGACGTGGTATCTCCCGCCGCAGTGAGTCTGGTCGTCTGACGTGTCCGCTGTGCTCCGAGCGCAATTGGAAGCAGCTCGACAACGACCTCTGGCGGCTCGAGCAGTGGCTACAGTTCGCCGAGGCCACGGACGAGGCACGCACCGGGCCGCCCGAGGAGTACGACGCCTTGGAAGATGTTATACAGGTATGTGGCGTAGCATAAGTGGGTATTAGAGAAAGTTATTAAAAGAGAACAGTTAAGGAATAATAATTTTCTTGCTCGTATGGAGTTTCTTGCTCGTTCTTCTCCACTCGAATCGACATTTTGGAACGAGCGCCTAGCTTCACTGACGGACAGACTGACAGACTATTATATATCTCATATTTGTTGACGTTTCAAAAGTACCAAATTATGGTTTAATTGAAATAAATGCTTTTGAGTTTGAGTTTGAGTTTCACATAGTCGTGGATCAGATAGGTGTTTCATGAATATTTTTCTCCCTCCTAGGACCATCGTGAATTCCTTCTGGACTTGGACTCGCACAAATCGATCGTAGTGTCCCTGAACGTGGTGGGCACGCACGTGGCGGCGCACGCGCGCTCGGCCGCCGCCGCCGAGCGAGTGCGCGCGCGCCTGGCCGCCGCCAACCGCCGCTGGGACCGCGCCTGTCGCCGCGCGCACGCCTGGCAGGCGCGCCTGCAGCACGCCCTGCTGCACAACCGCCAGTTCCACGACATACTCGTCGAACTCGTCGCCAAACTAGCAGCCGCCGAGAAGACCGTTCGCGCCCGGGAGCCCCTCCGCCTCGGCCGCGAGCCCGCAGAGCTGCAGCGAGACTTCCGTCGGTTCGCGGAG